TTATGGGCCGCTGTTCAATATCTGGGCCTAAGTTGGGATGGGAAAGCATTATATTAGATAGAAGATTTAGAAATATCAAGTTCACGGAGGAAAGTAGGACAAGAAAATAGTAAATTATAGGGACGCCTGGGTGGCTCAGTTGGTTAAGCGGCTGCCTTTGGCTCAGGTCATGATCCCAGGGTCCTGCGATCGAGTCCCACATCGGGCTCTTTGCTCAGCGGGGAGCCTGCTCTGTCCCTCTGCCTGCCACTCCCCCTGCTTATGCTCTCTCTCTCTCTGACAAATAAATAAAATAAAATAAAAAGGTAAATTATAAAAGGGGTTCATGATAATGAAAACATTGCAACTCAGTGGGTACTTTGCAGATGTCTTTAGTAACCTCCCTTCCCCCTGTGACACTTAGCTGAAGGTTGATAGGACAAATGTCAATCGACTAATAATAGTGGTGACGGCAGTAATAGTCATAGTAATAGGAGAGCAGTCACATTACAAGTGGGTGCTCAATAAATATTGTTTGTTAGATTATCTAGTAGACACAAATTTGCTCATTTGAAATCTAGAGCACAGGGATCTTATACATTTCAGCATTAAATTACTTCTGGGCAGGGAAGATTTAGAGGCATGGCTTTCTGATGGCAGCCAGATCTGATCAGTCACTCCAGACAAATCCAGGAAGGTAGCCCAGAGATTTTCTTTTTACCCACCCCAACGTTTCTCCACCAAACCCAATCCCTGACCAGTCACATGACATCACATGCTGCAGCCAAACTGCCATGCACCCCCCAAATTCCTGTACCCCAGAATGAGGACCTGTTTGTGCCCCTACGGAGTTTAGCTAAAATGTTACTAACGGAGGGGCAGATACCAGTGGGTTGTGTTTGTTTAACCCTTGTCCTGGCAACCCATGAGCACCTGAGACCTCTGAGATTATTTTAAAAGATGGCTGGGTGGGAAGCAAGAGTGGGATAATGCCAAAGACTGGACACCAACAAGGGGAGGAATGATATTTCAGAGGCTTCCGCTAATTCTGGGGCAAGACTGCAGTGAACTGCTTAATATCCACAAATCCCTCCTTTCCTGGTATATCCACTTCTTTACAATCTGATTGTACTGCGCCTCCCATTTATAGGTGGAGTCTATGTCTCTGCCCCCATCAATCTGGGCTGGCCTTGTGGATTTGCTTGGGCCAACAGAGCACAGAGATGGGGGTGGTGAATGAGTCTTGGAGCCTACGCTTCAAGATGCCCTGTAGCTTGGACCTCTGCTCCCTTGGAAGCTGCTCTCAGGGAAAATCTCTTGCGAATGTGTGAGGCCCAGCTATTGAGCTGCCTCAGCCCCATCTACCCCTAGGCTAAATGCAACCCATGAGAGAAACAAGGTTTGACTACCAGTAAAACCACAGATCACCCCCACAGAATCCTGAGGATAGCAAATTCTTGTTTTGAGGTTTAGGGTGGTTTGTTTACAGCAAAAGATCATGAAAACAGGCCAACAAGTATAGCTGACCCTTTTGTCTTTCTTTCTCTCTTTCTTTGTTTTTTTAAAGATTTTCAGAAAAATCAATTTAAGGCCAGAAAGGGAAGTAACCTAAAGAGATCATTTTATGTCTTTCTGTTTCCCTGATTTATGAGGTTAACTGGAAAGTCACCAAACATTATTTCTCATTCTCAACTTTGAAGTTCATTTGACTTTAATTAGAAAAACTGTTCATTTTACATGAAATGAATAACACAAAACTAAATTTAAATATCATTCTAGTGTGACTTAACACTGAATTATAAATTTAATGGTTGAGGGTTAAATAACCTTCAGAATTTTTTTCCTGAGAAACCAACAACATTTGCAAAAAATAGGCATAGGGATTTTTTTTCCCCCTGAAAGTTCTCAGTAAAGCAAAAGAGAACAGCTCTGTTATCAAATTATCCCCAAAGCCTTAATTAAAGTCAAGTGCTAAGGGAGATTTCAAGTTCCTTAATTTTACTGACTAATCCACAAAGAGAAACATCAGAAAAATATGTCTCAGCTCTTATTCATATACTTCACAATAGAGCTTATTTATTTTTATTTATGTATTTACATATGTTTGTAACACCTACACAACATTAAACAAATTTATCTCTACCTAAATACAGCAATAAGGCTGTTTCCACAGAAAATCCCAAATATACGGCTGTTTTCCTATTTATTTACCTACTCATCAAAATTCTGGCAAGCATTTCACGAGATTGCATCAGTTCGAAACACTCCAACATTTCTATTATAAAGTTTTCCCAAGGTGTCTCTAGTGAAGCTGGGAAGAAATATATATGTATATGGGTTCAAATATAACAGCAGAACCTGACTGGAATGCCTACATTTGCAGCAGGAGTTATATCCAGAGTTGCCATAGCAGCCACCCACACTCACACACTCATAAACGGGTGGCAGGGAAGAGAGAAAAGCAGTTAGCAGAGAATAGAATCTATTGTTAAAAAGACAGAGGTACCCTGCAATGTAATTACAAGGAGGAATCCTGACTTTTAGTCTGAACCACTGTTTAATGATAGAAGATTTCCGAGTGCTGGAGTGTTATTAAATGTTTTTTCTCTAAACATATCTACCCGTCTGAACCCTCGGCCGTAATCTTTATGGATGCTGAGGTTATGTGGCAGCAGGAGGAAATTTAGCTGACCATGCACACTCTAGAACTAATACGATTTAATATCCTCTCTCTGGAATATTTGGAATCACTGTAGCCAGGAAAATGGGTGGTTCTATGGATCTGGACAGGTTACTTCACTTTCTGAGCATCCTCATCTGTAAAATGGGCATAATAATACTACATACTTCAAGGAGTTTTTATAAGGATTCAATAAATTAGTACAAATATTCAATTACTACATAAATAGTAATAGCAATCAATAAAGAATAAATTTTAATACAATTAGTAATATATTAAATAAATTAGTAAAAGTGAAGCACTCGGTGCTTGACACATAGTAAATGTTCAATGAATGTTTGCTATAGTAATTATAATTATTATAGAATTATAATATATTTTATATACAGATAAGAGGTTGCTAGAACACTTGCCAGCTGACCAGAGGCAAGACAAGATATTAAGATTTCTCCAGGACTTAAAAGCATAATACCTTCTCCCAAAGCAATGCCTTTGAAAACACGATTTTGGCAGAACAAAAAGATCAAGTATTTATAGTACTCGCACATTCACTACCATTGGCAAACCCTGGTTAGAGAGCAAAACCAATCATCTATTAGTGCTAAAATAATCATGTAACAGGATTTGGGTTCAGAGAGTATTCTGGAATTTGCCTCAAGTCGTTGGCTTGATCACATATGTATATGCAGATATTTGCAATTCATCCTCGGATACAAATAACAAGGTCAGATTTAGAAGTGATGACAATGAATGAAAAGTATTTTGTGACTTCTGATTCACTCAAGTTTTAAATCTTCATTTTCAGTCTGAATGCTTCATATTCTAAGAGAGATGGGACATGTAGTGAAGCAATATAATGAATAAAAGAATATGCATGGATAAACAGATTTTATAGCAAGTCCGTAGTGCCTTAGAATGGGAAGCAGAAAGCAAAGCTGATGGGATAAAGAAATCAGGGGAAATTGGAGGAGTGGAGTTGGGAGCACACTGGGGAAGAAGGGAGTTGGAACTGACAAACTAGACAGAAGTTAGAAGAGAGTGGAAGAGAAAATGGATAGGATGAGATTTCATCTTTAACTCTATAAAACCTTTTTTGATGGGATTTTTAAAAAGTCCAGGCTGTGAGGGACAGAATTAGCTCAGCTTGAAAACTTTAGAAATGTTAAAATGCATGTACTTAAGGCCTCCAGAATTATCCTGCCATTGTGAGCGGTATGTATAGTGCTATAGTTTCCCTCCTAAATTGTTGCTTATTCAGTAATTTTGTTTCCAATCTCAAGTAGAGATGTCATAGGGTATTACTGTGTTTTCTCTCTGCTTTTAGAAACAAGCAGACATGATCGCATTAAGAATATCAGAAATATTTCCATAATCAAATAGCTCCTTGAGGGTAAAAATAATTCTGAGTTTTTTTTTAAGTCATCAGTAATGAACAGGTTTGGTTTCAGATGGGTCCCGAGATCTCTTGTCAATGAACTGGAATCAGAAGAAAGGAGCTATTAGCACCGTTGGAAAGGAGAACCCCAAAAGACATTTAAAATCTTTGAACTTTTTACTGTACGCATGGAAAAGCCTACAGAGCACATTTGGGAGTCCAGCTCCAGAACTACAAGGCAGATCCTGGTAATAGAGGGAAGGGCAGATGGCAAGAATGCTGGGGCCAAGCGCTGCCTGTCAAGGCTGCCCTTCTTTCTACCCCGGCGAATCCGTAACACACTCAACCATGACCATTTACTTCCACCTAGAGGTCCTGGACATCTGCAGCAGGGGTCTGGCTCTCACCACCGAAATGATGGCAAAGACTCAAGAATAAAGAAAAAAAAAAAAAAACATCATTTACAAGGACATTTTGGCTAGCTCTATGCGAAAGTAGTGAAACACTAGTTGAGATATTATGATGACAACAGTTACCAATAACCAAACAAAAAAACTTTCTAAAGAAAAGAGTGCCCCTTTCCCCACCTCCACCAGAGAATGTTAGAGCTTGAGTAGGCAGCTAAGAGGTCTGGATAGTTTTCTTAATTGGGCTATTACAAGGTTATGGGGACTGCTACGGGACAAATTTGTTTCCATTAAGCGCTATTTAACATAAAGACAAACATATTCTCAAATAGAAATGCTAATGACTATATTCTTTAATACAACCAACTACCCGCACATAATCTCATGAGAGTCAACTGACTTAATTCTATCCACAGTCCAAACAGCTAGTATTAAAAATAAATTAAATGGCCTACAGAAAGCTGTTAATGTGACTTCCATTATGGCAGAGAAAAAGAATTTCTACATTGGGAGAATGAACAGAAAGACAGACTAAGACTGGTTAATAATCCTTACTTACTGTCAGATACATAGCTGCATAGACACTAAGAGCCGCTTCTTTGGATGGAAACGTCTTCCTTGCTCTCATGATGAGATCTGGGTTGCCCGTGCAGGCCTCTTCCCCACTGATGAACTGTGTATACTGCTGACATCCAAGCGCTGTATAGTTGGGCTTACACAGGGCAAGAAAATGTGGAGCCAGATTCCCTGTGACTACTTGCCCAGCATTTACAAAGATATCTGTAGCAAATAGCCCAAATGTATAAATACCTGAGGAAGAAAACAAACCATCGTAATTCTGTTTTGTTTTGTTCTGTTTGTATTTCAGTTTACGATAAGCCAACATGGAAATATTTTAGAAACTAATAAAATAATTCATACATACATGTGGTTCCTTCCATTTCACTTCTCTCCAATTCTTTGCTTTCTGGAGTAGTGGGAGTGTTAAATTATTTAACATATCGAGCTACCACTGGCTACAGTTTATGCATGGCAGGTTTATAAGACATAAGATAAAAGAAGAAGATATATTCTAAGACTGTGTTTGGGTAATGCGATTTTTAAAAAGGAGACATATTTCTCTGGAAAGGGCTCAGTCTCTCACCTTTTACTAATCCTAGCAATCTTGATTTTTCCCTATTTTGAAAATATTTCGCATCTCATAAACATAAAGGAAAGCAGGTGTCTCCCTTTGATTATGCCTCTTAAACCCATTCAGACTGATATTAACTCTGCTGGAGGTACCAATTAGCAGTAAAATCCAATGCCATTAGTTTTCATTTAAATATCATGGAAAATCTTAAGAAGAATGGTTCAGATTGATTTCTACACTGCTTTCACAAATACATTTTTAAAAAGTCACATAACAACTAGTAACTTGGTCCCGTCTTATATTTTATGGTTGGACTTTATCAAATTTGGGGCAATTTCGTAAATAATAGTGCAATCAAAATTATGACTTTTCAATTATCTTCACAGCATTAAAATTTATTTGCTTTGGTTCCTGGAAGGTATAAAATTAAGTATACACAGATTTTTTTGTGTGTGTGAGGAATGTGACAATTTACTCAAATTTAAAATAATTTCTAAATTCAATGTCATTGGTCATTAGAACCAAAATTTATTTTTCTCCTCTATTTAGGCAAAATACATTCCTTGGCACCATTTTCAATTAAACTGACAAATACAATCTTTGAGGATGTGGTACCAACGTGAAGAAATCTATTCTTAATTTTGGGAAATAAAATTCCATCAGGTATTTTTACATTATGCCAGGAGAAAACTTCCCAAACCGCTCATTCATTAAAAAGTCATATGGTTCTATGATAATAATCAGACGCTTTATTTCTTAGTCATAAATTTCTGGATTGTTTGTTTGCTAAATCTTTATACATAATTATTGGCTATTATGTAGGAAGTCACCAGGAAAGTTGTGCAGGACCAAATAATTTTCCAGTGTCAGAAGCATGGCTATCCTTCTAATTTTTGAAATTGTATATAAGATTATAAAAGGCTCAGGTACATAAACCTGCACATAGCAAAACTCGATGTGCATACAATGGCAATGAAACAAAGACCTTAGTTCTTTATCTAAAAATGCTAAAAGGAAATAATGAAAAGCTCTTTCTTTACATCTTCCCAGCATTTCATGAATCATACAAGTAAATGTGATCAAAAGCAGAAACTTAGGAGAGGCAGGGAAATGAAAGAGAATGGAGGAGCTTAATAGAATGTTCATGTACGTAACCTGTGCTTCCAAACATCATGGCCCAGCACAGGAACTTAACTGGCAAGTCTTCATCTCTACTCCCTTGAAATCTAGGCTAAGATGTACTCATTTTATTTAACCAAACCATTTCTTTATCTGCTGTAATAAGTTTTCCTGTGTAAAATAGAGAGAAGTATTTGATAACGATATGGAAATATCTCTTGATACTTGTAAAGTTTCTAAATGTGCTTTTGAATTAAAATATTCAGTGCATCAGGCCCAAGGCCAATACTGTAGCTACAAAGATACTTATTAAAGTGACATCCCATGAATGTATCCACAGTGCTGACCGCCAGGATAAAGTCCCTACAAAGAACGATGCCCTACTATGCAGTAATGTTTTGCTTATAAACTTCCCATTTTAACAAACCAGAAATATCCAAACCATAATGAACAAGGGAAAAGGAACAAATCAAGCATTCCTAAATATTTCATAAAATCATATAATGAGAAACATACAGAGATTTAAAACATGCTTTATTTTGTGCCATATATTCTTTAGAAATATGTGTGCCAATGCAAAAAAATAACTACTTAGGTAGGCATGATAAAATTTGCTTTAACAGTATTTTAGAAAGTGTCAATTTTACCATGTTTAGTTTTGAGTATACTATTGCTTATTTTGTTATTAAATGACTCATGCAAAGATAAATGAGTCAAGAACACAGTATTGATGCATGTAAAAAATAGCTTTTTAAAGTTTCATATAAAAGTTGTCATCACTTCAACGGTATAAATGAGGGCTCTGGAGATGCATAACTTGATGGCAATAAAAAGAACAGTCTTAGATATGGAGACCTTTTGTCTTTAGAGAGATTCAAAGGCAAGATGACATTTGATTAGTCTTTAAGTGGATTTATATATAGATTAGCTGATCTATGCATAATATCTCTAAAGTCTTCATCTTAATCCCACCGATATGAGAAATATATGGAAGGGTACAGGACCTTAATCTCAATCTAAATACAGATAAAAATTTATCTTAAATTTTATTTAGCATATACAGACATACTTTTTTATCTGGTAAATACTGGAAATGAAAATTTATATTAAACTTTATTGCATCCAGTTAAAAAATTTGTCTTGGCCAAGTTTCTACTGAATTGAAATGATTTGCAATAATTCATCAATGCTTATATGTATTAGTGCTAGAATTTCAGACTGAAGGCTCAAGTATCAGTAAATCTTTTTCTAAAATTAAACATAACATAATTAAAAAAACATTAAAAATTTAAAAAATGTTTTTTTAATTTAATTCCAGTATAGTTAACGTAAAATGTTATGTTAGTTTCAGGTGTACAATATAGTAATAGTAAATCTTTTCCTCTAATAAAATCACTAGTACTTTTTTGTTCACATTAAAAAAAAAGCTCAGAGGTAGTGCATGGAGAGCTACATCTGATAATTAACAAACACAACATATCTTTTCTTTGCCAAGCTATTTTTCTTGTCTTTCATGATGTTCAACAATCTAACTAGATTATTATTTCTCCCCAAGCACTGTTTCTGAAATTTCATAAACACAGTAAATCATTTCTTCTAATTATATAATTTTTAGTTTCTTAAGGAATATTAAACATCCATCCAAGTGTGGTGTTCTTTTTTTTTTTCTTAAAATAATATGGAAATTACATCTGAGGCGGAGCCATATAAGAGAAAGTAGTATGCAATGTTATTTTTAAAACCAAACTGAGACATTTCAAATAAAATATAATCCAATATTTGCATAGAGTTAAAATGCTGATCATTTTAAGGGTTAGCTTATACATAAACATGGTTTCAGCAACAACAAAAATAATTCAGTGAACACATACCCAGAAATCGTACAGTTCGCCGCACCAGTGGGTTTATATAGCAACAATCTCCAGTTAAAATAGTTTTCTCCTGGTTTTCAAAATCCCGTGTGGCCAGTTGTAGGCAAAACACTGCAGTTTCTCCAACTATTATCTTGCAAGAAAATAAAAGGTTAAAGAACATTAGAATTTAAGCACTATAAATGCAAAATAATTTTATTTTTTAAAACACGCAAGAAAGTAACTCCTTTGAGTGGTAACAATCTCAATATAAAACTGAATCATATTTGCTTAACTAAACCCTTTTATCAGAACCTTATCCCTATGTATACAACCCACATTTCTCTCAATTCAGGGGAGTATTAAACTGACAAATTATGAATAAAAATGTACCATACCATTTTTTGTTTTCTGAAAGACTTCATTCAAAAAAAATTTACAAAGGATCTTTCAGGACACACATATTTATTTTTGGTATGTAACTGAATTCCATGTTTTATTTTTAAGTGATTATGTCTTGCTTAAATTTGACATTGCCACAGAAATCAGAACAAATTTCTATGAAAATATTCTAGAAAGGATCAGATAAAGACATCCTAAAGTCAAATTATATTAATACTTTTATAACAAGAAACAAAACCAATTCCCATTTGGCCTTGAGATTATCCTTTGCCAAAATCTCATTATTCTATTCTGAGACAGTATTAAAAATTGTAGTCATTAATATATTCTTTATATATTTGGTATACATATGTCATTTTAATCTTCATAAAAATGAAACAGAAATATTATCATACTTCTTTTATAATTGAAAAAAACAAGACTTGAAGCTCAAATGAATTGCCCAAAGCCACAGAGCCAGTAAGGAGAAAAATTAGATTCTGGTAGAGATTCTTTGCTCTACTATGCTGATTTACTAAAGGACCTGCCTTTCTTCCCTTGTTGTTTATACCATTTTCAGTGGTTTTCATACATGGCCTTTAAAATCACCCAGCAAGGTATTAGAGCATGTGTTAATATTCCCCCATGAATGAGAAAATGAAGGCTTAGGGAGGTTAAAAAATTTGCTCCCCATCAAGCCAGTCAGAAGCCAACCGGAAATTGCTGACTCAGCCCCAGATCTTTTGACTCTATTTAATACCATGATCAACACTAGAAATATGATTAAGAGAAAAGAAATGGAGCAAATGTTATGTTGCCTAATTTGTCATTATTAAGGTTAGTTTCCAGTACATCTTGTCTAGATTAAGTAACATACTATACAGAGAGTCCCTAACATTGCCTGGAAAAATGTTTTTGGGGTCTTGATAAAAGGTAGTATCTGTAATTACAAGTTACTCAAAATTATAAGGGGGGGATACAGAAATTCATAGGAGATTAAACATTTGTCCTAGTTCTACTCCAATATGAATAACAGATTATAAAGCATTTCTTAATTTTTATTCTTTCTAACTTTTCCTCTTTTCTTACTGTATCTCTTCTTCCAAGGAGGTCAGTGTTCAAGTTTAAACCAGTAGATGTTGAGCTGAATTATATTAAAGGAATCCAATCTTGCCTCTCTGGTAAGACTGGATTGAATTAGGAAAGGCTGGAGTTTATAGCCTCCCAAATCCTCCTGAAATTTTTAACTTTGGTAAAGTAGAGCAGGTGGGTGATGAAACAGTTCATCTGGCCTAAAGAGGCACAAGAGGCATTTTCTATGGGTTCATCAATTGCCACCAGGGCCCTAGTAGAAGCTGACAAATAGACAAGCTGTGTGTCTGACATCTTCTTATCTTCCTTTCTGAATCACTCTTCTGCTGCTCTTTGGAAGAAGTTGCTTTCTGAATTTTCAGTTTCAACTTCTTCCAGGTCTGTTTTTGCCCTACATTGTTGCAGATTCTAAAAATCTATCACCTACTCCACATCATGAGCTGCCTGGCTCCCGGCCTGATTCTGCCCTCCCAAGCCTTCTCTCCTCCAGAGCATGTACCAGAGGGTCTCCACCCCCAGGCTGGCTCCACCCCCTAGTACACTGACCCCACCCCCCCACCGCCAACTCTGTCTGTTAATCCATGATACACAAAATTCCTCTGAATGTAACAGATACCCAATAATTCTTACTAAATGCATGTGTGAATTCCATCCTCATTAGATCTGAAGGTCTCAGTCAGCCTCTGACCTTCTGCCTGACTCCTAATAACTAACTTCTGCTTTGTTCCTGTGATGAAGGCTCTACCTTACACCCTAGTTCCTTCCTATAACCAGATCTCGATGCTCGTCCCTGACCTGATAACGCGTTTGGTTACCTACCAGGTTCCTACCAGGCAAAGACCTGCCTTGTTCAGGCCCCTCTTCCTAGGGCTCTGCTTCTGTTTTCCTAATGCTAACCTCTTGCCTGGCTGTGTGTCAGCACATTTCACATTTCTGAATTCCCTATTTGTGTCTTCAGCCTATCTGCTGAACCACTGTCTCAATCAATACTCTTTGGCTGCTACTAAAAGAAACTCTCCCAGACTGGATTAAGCAAAACTGGGAATTTATTCTGGGGTTTGGAGTGTTATCTCAGAACTTGGGGGATGGGGCTCAGGATCAGGTCCAGGAATGGAGATTCCTCGGGAGTCCAGGCAACTACTCTCGGCATCTCACTCCCTGTCTCTGGAGTTACACTGCCTCTCAGCTCTTCTCTGAATGCCTGACTCATTCTTGTCTTTCTGCAAACCAGTTCTCCCGCTTCTTAGCATACACGATTGCCCCAACAGTTTCCAAGAACCCTATTTTGAACATGTTAGCTCAGTTCAGGGAAAGTTCAACTAATTAGATTTACTGCATCCCAACTCCAAATTCCCAGGGGGTTCAGCTGGGGACAGGTGTCTCTTCTGGTCCAATTCACCAAAGTTAAGAAGGTGTGTCATGGCGCATGAAAACTGCCTCTCCCGGCAGAAAGCCTAGTTCTCGACAAAAGGGAGTTGCAGTGATGTCTACGTCAACTCTCATCCATCCCATCCTGCTGGATTTTCCCCCTCCCCCACAATGCTAGTTCTTTCTCTAGACTAGCCCTTTCTACCATGTTCTCTGGATATCGTGTTCTGTGTGCCTACTGGGACTTTATCTCATCAAATGTAGGTGCTTTTTATGATGAATACTTAGATACCTTCTGAGTTAAGGACTCCATGTTGGGCACTGCTGTTTAAAGAAAGCTTTATAACCCAGTTGGGTGGACACAAATGAAATAATGAATAATGGCAGGAGTCTGAGTTTTAACTGGTTTGGACAATAACTGCCAGTAGCACATTTAGAAAGAAATGTTACTGAGTCACTGGAAGCATCTGTGGTCAAAGTGAGATGTGCCATTCAGATTCTCCTGCTGCAGGGAGACTTTCCAGCTCACGCTCCCAGCTGCTATTCCACTGGGACCGCACTTCCTGTGGGCTCCTTCTAGCAAATGACTAACTAAGCATGGTGGGGGTACTCAGGAAAGCCTGTTCTCCTGAGATGTGAGATACCTCAGATTGGCAAATTTGATTTGAAAACTGCCAATCAGCCTGGCCAAGTCTTTCTTGAAACTGCGTTGTATTCTGAGGGGCTTGCTACCCAATTTCCCTACCTTCCTCCTCTAATTCACAGAGGTCACACCTCCGTCAGAGTCTGAGGCCTCTCCTAGCCTTCTCTGGCCCAGCCCTCCCCAAACCTTTATCTTCTACAGGTGTTTCTCTTGATAAATCTCTTGTGCATCTAATCACATTTGGTACCTGCTTCTAGGAGAATTCAAAGTAACACAGCATCAAAGAAAGGGTGTGATCCTGATTACTCTTAGAGAAAGGGTAGATAGATGTGATCAGATAGATGGAGAGGATTTAGATATAGGCCTTACTAGGAAGGTAACATTGGAAGAGGAGTGGAGGTAGACCCTCCTTCTGGTAGCTCTCAACATGTCCCGAACAGAAGCTAAAGTAGATGGAGTTTGCCTTGGAGGCAAAAGCTCTCGTCAGCGAATTACAAACCTAAATTCTATGTTCCTGGTATTTTATTTTGGTTCTTCTCTTCTTGTCCTGTCAGAAGTCTCCCCGAAGGACTTTATTCTCCCAAAACCTCCAGATGCAGGCCCCCAACCCCCTATTCCATGACAACATCTCAACATGCTCAGATTTGCATATTGAAGTCCTCAGAGCCCTCCCACTCAAAAGGAAATTCCTCTCTCCTACCCTAAGCCTCCTGCCCCTCCATGTCACCATCTCAGTTAACCTGCCATCCTCCACTTAGACACTCAGGCTAGAACTCTCACACCATTACACACCATACTGATACCTCTGTCCCCCTCATCTGCCTCTCTCCAGCAATTGCTAACTCCTGTTCTTTTACCTCTTAATCATATTTCAAATATGACCATTTTTTCCTCTGGCCTTCAAGCCATCTACTGCCAGATTGATACATTGAAAACAAATGTGTGCAATCCAAATTTTCTATTTATAATTTTCAGTGTGTCCTCACAACCAATGGGATAACAGGAATTGTCATAAATGACTGTTATAGTTGAACCTAAACCCACCTTTTTCAGCTTCTGCAACTCTCACACAACAGCCTCCACACATGCTATGTTCTAGGCACAGCTAAACACTTAAATTCTTCCAACATACCAGGCATTCTTTTATACTTGGTCCATCACTTAGTATAGTTTGGTAGGCAAGGCATAGTTCTGTGCTTGAGATGTAAGTTAAATATTGCCTATCCCTTATGTGTATTCCTGGTGCAGCCCATCCCTTCTTCTCTGTGTTCCAGTAGCGCTTTGTACATTTATTATGGTACTTTCCTCATGATTTTATAACTATCAGCCACATCAGTCTCTTCCACTCAATTGAGAGCTTCTCCAAAGCAAGGACTGTATAATGTTTATCTTTATACTTCCATATTAAAGCACAGTGCCTGGCAATAAATGTGAATGGCTGTATGCATGAATGAAATCCAGTTCAATCTGCCCATTTTATAGATAAGGACACCTATCCAGAGAGAAATAAAGACGTTAAACATGCCTGAGTCACACAGTTACTGGCACCGCCAGAATCTGAATCCGAGTTCAGAGCTGTTTTGACCATAGCTTCTGCCTAGAAACTTGGAAGCTTTTCCTCCAACTTTTCCAGGTTAAGCCAGCTCACCGCCCACTGCCCCCTGCTCCCT